CTCTTGGGCCCGTCTTGGGGCCCTCTTGGGCCATCTTGGGCGCCTCTTGGGCCGTCTTGGGGCCCTCTTGGGCTGTCCTGGGGCCCTCTTGGAAGCTTCTTGGGCCGTCTTGGGGCGGTCTTGGGCGCCTCTTGGGCCGTCCTGTAACGTCGGAAAGCCCAAAAGACAACTTTGTTGAAAATGTACGTTTTACGAAGGGAATGGGCCAATGTTTGCGTCTAGGGGCCCTCTTGGGACGCATGTTGGAGGCTTCTTGGGGCCTCTTGGGGGCGTCCTTGGACGTCTGGAGGCCATCTTCAGCATCTCGGAGCCCTCTTGGAGGCCTCTTGGAAGTTTCTTGGGCCGTCTTGGGCGCTTCTGGGGCCGTCTTGTCTGACCGGGGAGGCCTCCGGCAAGCCCCGACGAGCCTCCGGGCCCCCCGGGGCCCACATTTGTGGTCGAGGTCCCGGCCCCGGGCCCCCGGACCCGGTGCGCCGTTATATCATAACCCAGAGCTGGCTGCAGCCGGAACGTTTGGAGCGCTGAATCAGCTCGAGCTCAAGATCCGACCCTGTCACGAAACGGAACAAGACGACACGGGGCGCGGGGCGCATGGACGCGCCACGGGATGTGCCAGGGGCGCACTAGGGGATGCGCCAGGGGACGTGTCAGGGGACGTACTAGGGGACGTGCCCGGGACACGTCAGGGGCCCGCCACGGGAAGCGCCAAGGCGCGTGCCATGTGGCAACGGACGTACCAGGAGGCATGGAAAGGGACGCGCCACGGAACAGGCGGGGGAAACGCCAAGGGACGAGCCGGGGAACTCGCGCTGCGGGACGCGCCGAGGGGGGCGCCAGGACACGCCACGCCAGGGGCGTCGCAAGGGACGCGCCAGGAACGGGCCTGGGGCGCGCCACGGCACGAGGACGCCGAGACTGCGCTGTGCCACGCAACGCCGGGCTGCGACGCGCTCGACTGCGTTGTGGGTTTGGGCCCCTGCTGGGGTCTCTTGTGGCCTCCTGCTACCTCCAGGGGCCTGCAGTAGCCTCCTGGGGCCTCCTGGGGCCTCCTGAAGCCTCCTGGGGCCTCCTGATGCCTCCTGATGCCTCCTGGGGCCTCCTGAATTCGAGGCCAGTCCATAGGTGCATACGTACAAGACCAAAAAATCAGACCAATCTACTGGCACATACGTGGGGCACATGAGATGTGAGACCAATCGGAAAAAAAGCATACATAAAACACAATGTATTAAGGGCCAGTCCACAGGGACAGACGTGAAATACAATATAACTAGAACCACGCGCGCGCTTCGCGCGCGCTTAGGTTCTAGCTAGGAGGCGAGCTTGAGTCAACGAAAGTCGCAGGGAAGGGGGCAGGGGGAAGAAGGCCAGAGAGCGCTGAAGGATACAAATACTGGAACCCTCTTGTGATTTTGTGGGGGGCCTCGTCCGGCCGCTCGCTGGGAGTTTGACGTAGCTTCTCGGGAGCCTCTGAACCTGTCGGGGGCCTCCTGGAAGCAGGTTCGAAGCATTTTGGGGGCCGATTTGGGGCTTCTCGGGGCCTCCTTTGGGCCTCTTGGGGGTCTCCTGGGGCCTCTTGAGGGGCCTCCTTGGGGCCTCCTGGCGGCCTCTTGGGGCGGAAGGCTCGAGCTTGCGGTTCGTGGTCCCCCTCTGGGCCCCCTCTTGGGCCCGTCTTGGGGCCCTCTTGGGCCATCTTGGGCGCCTCTTGGGCCGTCTTGGGGCCCTCTTGGGCTGTCCTGGGGCCCTCTTGGAAGCTTCTTGGGCCGTCTTGGGGCGGTCTTGGGCGCCTCTTGGGCCGTCTTGGACGCGGTGAAAGCCCAAGAGGCGAACATGCGAAAAATATACGTTGTCCCATAGGAATGGCACGACTTTTGCTTCTTGGGCCTCTCTTTTTTTTTTGTTCGTGCGCCCTGGCACTCATAAACCAGCGCGAGAAACTCGCAGCCTCAACAGCAACGCTTTGTTGTGTCGACTCTTGGACAGTGCAGCGGCCACGTACACCCTGCCGCATTCGCAGGAGGTGAAACTCGGAGCGCTCGCGGCCCGACGCCATGCCTGCCGCATCGGGCCTGCGAATGGCTGTCTCGCGGGCGTGCACTGCAAAGCACGAAGGCTACTGCTGGAATGGTCCCGCAACTCGTAGGGTCAAGAGTGCAGCACAAAAAGATACATACCCAGAAGTGTCGATGCAGCAGCGTTTCGTTTCCCGTTTGGGGCCGATTTGGGGCTTCTCGGGGCCTCCTTTGGGCCTCTTGGGGGTCTCCTGGGGCCTCTTGAGGGGCCTCCTTGGGGCCTCCTGGCGGCCTCTTGGGGCGGAAGGCTCGAGCTTGCGGTTCGTGGTCCCCCTCTGGGCCCCCTCTTGGGCCCGTCTTGGGGCCCTCTTGGGCCATCTTGGGCGCCTCTTGGGCCGTCTTGGGGCCCTCTTGGGCTGTCCTGGGGCCCTCTTGGAAGCTTCTTGGGCCGTCTTGGGGCGGTCTTGGAGGCCTCTTGGGCCGTCTTGGACGCGGTGAAAGCCCAAGATGCGAACATGCGAAAAATATACGTTTTCCCATAGGAATGGCACGATTTTTGTTTCTTGGACCTCTCTTGGGGTGCCTCTCGGAACGTCTTGGGCTGATTTTGGAAGCCTTTTGGCGCCTCTGGGCGGCGTTTTGGCGCCTCCTGGGATATGTTGGGCCGGAAGCTCGGAATTCGAGAGTGGCTTTCTCCTTCTGGGACCCCTCTCGAAGTCGTCTTGGGGTTCTCTTGGGCCGTCTTGGGGCCGTCCTGAGCCACTCGTGCGCAGCCTTGGAGCGCTCCCGGAGGCCTCCTAGGCCGTCTTGGAGGCCTCTTGGGCCGTCTTGGACGCGGTGAAAGCCCAAGATGCGAACATGCGAAAAATATACGTTTTCCCATAGGAATGGCACGATTTTTGTTTCTTGGACCTCTCTTGGGGTGCCTCTCGGAACGTCTTGGGGTGCTTTTGGGAGCCTTTTGGCGCCTCTTGGCGGCATTTTGGCGCCTCCTGGAGCCTCTTGGGCCGGAAGCTCGGAATTCGAGGTTGGCTTTCTCCGTCTGGGACCCCTCTCGAACTCGTCTTGGGGCTCTCTTCGGCCGTCTTGGGGCCGTCCTGGGCCACTCGTGCGCAGCCTTGGAGCGCTCCCGGAGGCCTCGTAGACCGTCTTGGGCGCCTCTTGGGCCGTCTTGGACGCGGTGAAAGCCCAAGAGGCGAACATGCGAAAAATATACATATACGCTTTCCCATAGGAATGGCACGATTTTTGCTTCTTGGGCCTCTCTTGGGCTGCCTCTCGGAGCGTCTTGGAGGCTTCTGGGACCTTCTTGGTGTCTTTCAGGCGTCTTGGAAGGCATCTGGAGCCATCGGAGCGCGTTCCGAAGCCGCCTGCGAACGATCTTGGACGGCGTCCGGCGGTCCGACGAGCCTCCGGGCCACCCGGGGCCCACATTTGTGGTCGAGGTCCCGGCCCCGGGCCCCCGGACCCGGTGCGCCGTTATATGTATACACAGCAAGGGTGTGATGCCAATGTATCGTGGCACACGTATAGCACAATGGATTTGAGGTCAATTCATGGGAAACTCCGTAAGTCATAACGGATTCGCTACCATTCCGTAGAAACCTACGTAACACACAAAGGGTTGGAGACCAGTATGTAGAAACATACGTAAAACATTAAGGGCTTGAGACAAGTCCATATGAACATACGTAACACACAATGGATGTGAGGCAAATCCACAGGAGCACACGTAAGACGCAACTGCTGCGAGGCAAGCTATAGGAACATGCGTAAAACAAACAATCAGGTTTTGAGGCCAATCCGTATGAACATACGCAACACACAAACAAGGTGTGACACCAGTAGATGGGAACATGCGCAACACATGAAAGATGCTACCAGTCTGTCAGAACAAGCGAGAACACAATGGATTCGAGACCAGTCCAGAGGGGCATACGTAGAACACGGTAGCGGTTTGAGACTAGTCGATTGGAACACATGGAACACGCAGAGGATTTAAGACCAGTTTCGTATGTAGGTGCATGCGTAAACATACAATGGATGTGCAGCCATTCCATACGAGCACCCGTAACAAAAAAACGTGTAGCGTGAGATGTCCCCAACACATTATGCAGACCAGGCGCTTCGCTAGAGACATCCCAGACTCTGTGAAACAAGCGTTTGGCCTGAGACATCCGCAACACATGATGTATGTATAGCAGGCAGTTCGCTCGGGGCATCATCAACATTATGATAGCCTCCCAGGGCGTCTGGGCTTCTCTGTGCCAAGCCTCCGCCGCCTCCCGCCTCTCGGCGGCTGAGCGAGGGGGCCCCCTGGGGAATGGGGCGCTCAGGAAATCGGAAGGGAACCCACAGGTTGGACTTGCATTGTTTGAGGTCCCTGGTCCTTACTCCAGATGTGGTAATTATCAATGGGGAATTAACCTTCCGACGGAGCTTGCCCATCCACCACTCCCTCCTCCTCCACCGCCCCATCCTCCTCGTCCACCTCCTCCTCCTCCTCATCCTCCTCCTCCTCCTCCTCCTCCTCCTACTCTCCTCCTCCTCCTCCTCTTCCTCCTCCTCCTCCTCCTCCTCCTCCTCCTCCTCCCCTTCACCCGTTCTGACAGCACGTGCTCAACCGCCCCCTGGATCCAATGGGAGTAGGTCCCCATCCTTCAGGGCTGTCTTTGAACCCCTGAGCCTGCTGCTTTCCGCTGGCGGGCCGGCCGCCATTCCGCTTCGGCGCCGCCATCGGCCAGCCTATCTGCCGTAGGCGAGGTGCGCCGAATGCGAAGCCTCTTCTCCAGACTTTTCATTGATCGGCGGCGCCTTGGATCCAAGCTCCACTCTAACGCAATCCTTTCCGCCCCGTGCAACAGTTCGCACCTCCAGGAAAGGTTGAAAAGCAGGAGATAATGCCCACGGACGGTTACACCTTCCCCTGGCCCCCCCATTTGGATTGGAGAGCGTTTCTTCATTTTCGGCGATCATAGGCATTATAAGGGGGAGGATGCCGGGGGTGGTATAGTGTAACGCCTCCCCCCCGCCGTGTGCCCGATGCGCACGGCGGCAGTGCCCGGAGCGCACTAGGGGGGGGAGGGCCGTCACGCCACAGGACGGGGGGGTGGGTCGGGGGCTGTAATGCCCATTATGCCCCAAGCAGTAAAGAATCACGCTCTTGTCCCCATGGAGGGAAGCGCTGCCTCGCTACAAAGAGGGAGCTGTCCACCCCCAAGCCGGGCACCGTTTTCCTGAACTGGGCTAACTTCTGCTTGGAGTGCGAATGACTTGAAGGCGGCTCGCCCAACAGCGCGACGAAACCGAAGGCAGAATATGGTACAGTAGAATTGGCCTCCCCGCCTCCCGTCAGGCGAACGGGAGGCCGGAGCCCCCGGTCGGATCAGGCGTTGTAATCGGACCGTCTCGATTCAAGCACTGGACAGCGCGGCAGCAGGGCGCTCTTCAGTTCCTCCAGATCGTTGGCCTGCCCGCGCGCTGAGGATGAGGAGGAGCGGGAGGAAGGAGGAGATCGAGGGTTGCCAAAGGTGTCCCTTGCCCAGGATGTCCCCAGCTCTTCGCCCGGTGCTGGATCACCTGGGGCTCTCTGGGCTTTGTGAGGGATGCTCCAGAGGCTGCGGGGGGGCCTCACTGGACATCCGGAGGACACCTTGGGCCAGAGACACTTCTGGCAACGCCCAAGGCAATAGCAGGAGGAGCATGAGGCCTGCCGGTAGAGCATGTGGAGCACCTGCAAATTCTCGATTGGCATTTCTTCCAGGACCAGACAGCACATACCGTCGACCCACTCAGCCTGGATTATCATTCCAGATCCATCAGCATCGAGGAGCTTGAAGAAGTCTTCCAGTTTGTAGGACTTCAGCGCATGTAGCACCTCGGCGGGCAAGGACATCTGCGGCGCGCCCATCCTCGCCAAGTCTAGGTCTGCCCAGCGGATGTACCCTTGGCCTTGTGAGCGTTGTGCTATTCGGCGTTTCGACATTGGGCGGAAGGGCGGGGGAGGGGGGGGGTCTGGCTACGGATCTCTGCCTAGTGCCGCTGTTTGGGACCGTGCGTCCTCTGGGGGAGACCCCACCTGCTTGAAGCAGGCGCCCAAAACAGCCAAGATCCACCCCACCGGGGGGGGGAGGGGGGAGCCCGAAGGCCCGCGCCGATCGGCAAAACGAGGAACAAAAAACGATCACCTTCTGAGTCGAACTGCCTGAAGAGGCTGTTCAGGATCGGTATCAGCGCCTCCAGCCTTCCCCGGAGCTGAACGCGCGCCAGCTCTGCGTCGTGGCAAGAGACCTTGATTGCATGATTCACAATTACGGCCGTGATCCGCCACCGTGCCTCATGGCACGCTGAGGCGTGGAAGAATGCCAAGTGAGCAACGAAAAGAAAGGGGCCTTACGGGAGGTGGCATGGCGACCTTACGCGGAAGCGTACGCGGGCAGCGAGCGTGGCACGCCACGTTCGGTGCGAGGGCGCTTCCCCGCGACCTTGCGCGGGCAACTTACATGCCAATGCTGGCGCAGCCAACCCTGGTTCCTTGCGTCGCCCAAGTGCTTTAAGGCAACTGTTCTATGGTCTTCGAAGGGACCTCCCCACCCCTCTCGTCGCACCCCCTCGCGCGCACTGCTCGGGCGGCCATGGCGTTCCCCTGGGGACCACGACGGCTGCCCAGACGGTCGAGGAGGGCTATCAGAGCCGCCAGGACGGCCGAACAGCCTCCAAAACGGCCTGAGTTGGCTCCAAGACGGCCCAAGATGGCCCCACAACAACCCAAAGTTGCCTCAAGATGGCTAGACGAGGCCCCAAGACGGCTCAGGCTCAGGATGATCTGAAGGGAGCCTCAAGGGAGCCCGACCAAGTGTAGAACCAACTGTCTTCCTTAGGTGTTTCATTGTTTGGGGGAGTATCACGCTTCTGGGCTTCCGTCAGCGCAGGGCGGCCCAGGAAGCTTCAAGACGGCCTCAAAAAAACGCAAGAGGGCGCAGACATTGATCTGGGGCATCTGGGGTGGGTTTGGCATCTCCCTGGGCGTCACGAAGGCTGCCCAGACGGCCGAAACAAAGGCGATCAAAGCCGCCAAGACGGGAACGAGAGCCAGAAGACAGCCCAAGGGAGCCCCAAGACGGCCCAAGCGAGCCCCAAGGGGCCCGTGAGACTGCCCTACAGAGGCCCCAAGCAGCCCTAAGACGTGGGCTCCATAAGGACACCGAACGAAGTAGAAGCGAACAGCGCCACGTGCGACAGCCTTCCCCTTGCTCCTCGTCCTCTCCCCCCTCCTCTTCCTCATCCTCCTCCTCCGTTTCCTCCTCCTCCTCCTCCTCCTCCTCCTCCTCCTCCTCCTCCTCCTCCTCCTCCTCCTCCTCCTCCTCCTCCTCCTCCTCCTCCTCCTCCTCCTCCCCCCCCTCCTCCTCATCCTTTTCTTTCCCCTCGCTGAAGGCCTCGCCGCGCGGTACCTCTCCTCCTCGAAAGCGGGACGCGGGCCCCGCTCTCGGCACTGGCGGGCCAGCGCTGGCGGGCGCGCAAGGGAACACGAGCCCTTGCGCTGCCAGCCAAGCCCCGTGCAGGCGAGGAGCACGAGCCTCGCCCGCACGTGAAAGCCCCCCCCCAGCAGGAACACGAGCCAGCGGGGAGAGCAACCGAGCGACCTCTCATCCACCCCGCCATTACTAAATCCTCGTCGAACCCCTCCAAGTCACTCCCTTCGTGCTAGAAGGCTGCTGCTAGCTCCAAGCTGTCAGGGCCTGCCTCGCTGAGGCCTCTGGCCAGCGAAACCTGGGGTTCTGAGCCCCTGGTCTCCGAAGTGGAGCCGAAGATACCGATGTGGGCCCGCAAATTTGGCCCCCCCGATGACGACTGGAGCTCGGACAAGCACCAACAGAAAGACGAAACGCGATGCAAAACACAGATAGGCACAGAACTCCTGAAGCAGGAATATGGCCTGCAGGAGCAACTTCCCATCCACTGGAATGGTATCCTCCCAGGCCCCTGGAAGTACAAGTGGGTGTCCCCAAACATCATCTGAATTGCGCGGCCAAGATAAAACTGACGGGTCGGGAATGGCATGCTGCTGCTGGCTGTTGGTGGTATGGTCGCATGTGAGTGCCAATACCCTGCCAGTGGTGAACAACTGCAGCCACTAGTTCAAAGTAAGATCTACGGAGAGATCAGCACTGGGACGATCCGACGCGGCTGAAGGACGGATGTGCGGCGCAGCTTCGTCGGCCGTGAGGTCCTTCATCTGCTGCGCCGCTGATCCGTCCACCTTGGAGCATACGTAAAGAATGGCACGATACAGCCAACCAGTATAGCAAGGATGCGCGATAAGGATGCAAGGGCCGTGGACGCCAATGTCGAAGCTATTCGAGCGGGGCGCGGCCAGCGAAAGCGGCGAAGGATGGACCGAGGAGGCAAGGGTACAAGGGTGCCGTTGGGAAGGTTGCCCATCATTACTATGCGGGTTGACTGCGCTGCTGATACTGGGTATTAAAATCAACGCTCCTGGGAGCAATCGTCGTCAAGGCCATCTCTGGCAATGCAATCGCTTCACCATCCAGAGGCGCATCGCCCAGATTGAAACGCACTCGTCTCCCCGGGCGCCTGGCCCCAGGGGGTCCGAGAGCTGGTCGCAGGGCCTTCTGAGCGCAGCAACCGATCCGTCGAAGCTGTTCACGCTTGTCCTTGTCATCAGCTGGAAGACGTGCTGCTTCCTCCTCGGAAATACATTCAAAGCTACCTTCCATTTCAGAGAGAGGAGGTGCCGCGATATCTCAAGCGCATCAATTATCGATCGCGCGTGCGAACTTCAGAACCATAGAGGTGTGCATAGAGGTGTGCACGATCACGTTGGCCGCGCTCGGTTGCATGATGATGGAGCGCCCCCATTGTAGCAAAACCCTGACCACAGATGTAGCAATACGTCTTGGGTTGATTCGAAGGCTTCCAGAGCTCCGAGGTGGATGACACCGAAGCGACCTGTCTCCTCCAGACAACGACTTTGCGCTGTTCGATCCGGTACTTTTCTCGTTGGTCATGGCTCGATTCAGGAGGTTGTAGAGCTTGCGGACACTAGTTATGGCGTGAGCAATCCACTCCTGCGAGCAAGCGCGCGGGTCGGGCAGTGTTGTAGATACACGGGAGCGCAACAATTTGAGATCGTCGAGTAGGAGGCAGGGCCAGTTGGGCACATCAGAGCAGAGGTCCCATAGTATCATGAGTGCTTCGACCGACAAGTGAGTGCATCTGGCCCAGCAGCGTAGTCTTCCGTATCTGACCACTGTTGCTACAGGCTGGCGCTGAGCGCGTAGTAATACTTGAGCGTCGGTTACCTTCTTGTCATCGTCGGCGAGACCCGTGATATTGATGCTGTCGGTCGGGGGCCGGTAGTCGTTCATGTAGACATGCTTCGCTTGTTTCATCTGCGCGCCCGTGAGCTCCCATAGCTCGCTGTGGTATCGGAGCTTGACCATGGCCCACGTGTCGAAGCATGCGACTTGTTTGACACGGCGATTGCACTCGTAGTTTTCATCCGAGACTTGATCGCGGCAACGGCGATCCGATATTCGGTGATGCGGCTCTTGATCTCCGGGCCCTGACGCGCGTCACGCTCGGCAATGCTGCCCAAGTGCTTGTAGGTAGTCTTAACAGCTACATCCTCGCCGTCGTCTCCACGTATGCATGGTATCCTGGGGCCGTCGCTGGTATGCATTGCCCGTTTGCTAGCCTGAGATCCCATGCAAGGGAGAAACGCCATAATGCCAGTCTTGCCCCGCTTGAGGTTGACTTCGTGCTGCATGACGGCCACAGGCGCTTCGGCATCAGATCGTGCGCTGGAAATGTGCAATAGCCACAGGTACGACAACATCACCCACAAAGGAGGTGTCCAGACCGGCGACGTTGATGCCCTGGCTGCACAGCGAGTTGGCGGGGGTGCCAAAGATGACCTGCACGTCGTGAGCTTTGAGCGAGTCCATGATCCACTGCAAGGGCCCGATGAAGGCAGCGCTGAAGATGAGGTCAGCTGAGGTGACTCCAGGGCGCGAGCCACGGGTAGAGCGACCTGTGTCACTGGAGTTGCGCACGTGAAACCAGGTAGCTCTGTGCGCCTCGCCCATGAGTAAGGTCCAGTGCTTGTCAGTGATGCCTTCATCGAGGACAGCAGGGGCCTGCAGGATCAGCTAGTATTCACCTTCAGATCATCGCGGCCACTCAGCCAGATCAACGTGCTCGGTAGGAAGCTGGACATCGCCATGCTGCCCCGTGTAGCCAAGGATCCCGATGGCGACCTGGCGGATGGCGCGATTGCATGCGCTGACCAGATCGACAAAGAATAGTAGCAGCGGTTTGCCATTCGCTCTATGGACCTGCTGGAGACATCGCATGACGCGGTGCGCCATGGCAGTGGACCTACTAGGCCTGCCTCCGCATTGGCCCTGCCTGGGAAAAAATAAAAGAAAAGAGACGCACACAAAAAAAAAAAAAAAAAAAAAAAAAAAAAAAAAAAAAAAAAAAAAAAACTGCCGCGACGCCCGCTTGACGGAGGTATATGTGGTGGAATTCGGAGATGGCGCTCGTGAGCATGATTGCGCGCTGGTCCTGCGTCGCGGTGGCATTTGCCTTGGGTTTGGGACAAGATGCTTGAATACCTCCTTTGAACACGCAGGCCCCTGTGCCAAGAGCACCGTCTTGGTGTAGATTGGGTGAATGAAGTCGGCGATCGCCTCCCCCCTGCCTTGAGAAGCCCGTTGGCAATGGCGCTGTTGCCAGCAGCACGGTTCTTGGGGCCTGATGAGATGAGTGCGCTGACTATGTTCTTAGGCGGTACACTGCTTAGGGAAAGGCTGACCTGCTTGGCGTCCACGTGTGCCGCGGCGTTGTAGCGATGGCAGCCGGTAGCCCTGTCGAGCTTGTGAGCGCCCTCCGCCTGAGCAGAGTGCGCGAAAGCATCTGCCGCCTGACTCCCGTCCGCAGCGATGACCCGGTCATTCAAGTCGCGCTGCATGGGTAGTAGCTTTCCGCCTTTGAACCTGCGAGATGGTCGCCCTCCGAACCTGAGGTGTCGTCGTAGGTGCCCCCATTCCTTGGAGCTGTCGCGGCACGCCGCGGATGCGTTCATGTCGTCGGTGGTGGAGGCAAGATACGCTTTCTTATCATTGCGGAGCTGGTCTGCAAGGATAGGCTTGGTAACTGCCATGAACCAGTGACAAGCCTCGACTGCAGCAGTCTGCTCGGCCGAGGCATCGGCCCATGTGTCTGGCCATGGCACGCCAGGCATCGCGTAGATGTCGAGCTCCTTGGGAAGGCGCCTGGCAGGCTCAGCCAGGCCTTTGCCGTTCCTCCTTTTTACGTCGGCGATGGCTTTCTGGGCGCACTGGCGATGCCAGATCAAAAGCCTGGTGTCGCGAGAAATGTAGCTCTGGAGAGGCGCGAACTGATCTCTCGAAATTTTGGGCGCCAGCCTTGTAGATCTTCACGGCGACGTTCATAGCCTCAGCGTTGACGTCGACCCCCCAATGACCCGGCTGTTTCCCGCGGATCTCACGACGAAACTTGTTCCGCAACCCGGCATACATCATCTTCTTCGCGCCCAAGAGAGCCCTGCCTTTGGCGCCGCGGTTGCCGCAGTGCCTGCGGCCTTCGAGCGAGAGCTGCACTGGCACATGGTCGACGCCGCCACAGCGGTCGATGTCAGTCACGACCGCGCACTCGGGCGATGAGAGGGGCCCACTTGGAGTGGCAGGATAGGCAATCGATCCTTTGCATGTCGCCATTGCTGCGGATTTGTGCGAATGGATGTCCGCATGTGAAGAACGCGTTGGCCAGGTACGCCTCGGCTTGCAGCATGGCCCCATGGAACCTCTCGCCACTATGCCGTGGCATGCCTTCTCCCCCCACAGAGGAGGAGATGGTGGGGCCTCGCCTGCCGCTGGCGTCGCATAGCCACAGGGCGGGCGGGCTTTGTTCGGTAACGCGCATGACTGTGCCCCAATACTCGCTGCGTTCTTTCGGATAACGATTCCACATGCGCGGTGCATGTAGTACGGCGATAAGTGCGCCCAAGAAGGGACCTTGCAGCTTCGCAATTAAAAAGCCTGGATGATGTGCGCAGTACTCTGAGAAACCGTTCCTGGAGCCTGGTGGCACCGTTCCTACCCCAGGCGCAAGGCTCGTTGGCGTTGACGACGAGTGCGCAGCCCAGGTTGCCTTTCTCTGACCCGTTAACCATGGTGAAGAAGACGCCGTGGTATCTAGTCCAGTTGCTGGCACGGGCCCCTTGGTTGCCAACTATGTGCAGTGACATCTGTGCCCGCTGCAAATTGACATGATGTGGCATATCTGATCGCGGATTCTTGTCCAGTTTGGCGCGCGGCTCGGTCGCTGCCTCGTCGCCGTCGGTAGCCACGCCTTTGCATAAATACGTCTGGACATTGAAAAAAGGCAATGTTGAGACTGATTTTCGAAGAGGCCTGCTGTCTGCCGGCAGCCTCGCCCTGGTGGGTAGGATCCGCCACGTCGCTCGGGTCAACTATGTCTGCGCGGGAATCAGGGAGCATAGTTTAGATCATGTCTTCTGAAACCTGCTGCCTGGTAATCTCGAACAAGAACCCGTCTTGACCGAGGGTAGAATCGGCATTGCGAAACTTATGATCATTCTGGTTAAGCCAAGACCATTCCACCTCGATAGAATGATGGATCGCGTCCTTGATGTCGCGGTGAACGCATGGCGTGGCCTTGAGCTGGTGGCGCGTCGCCAGCGAGTCGGCCAGTTAGTTCCAGGGTTCGCCTTGATGTCCTTTGACATGCTCGATGCTGATGTCGCGCGTCGCGTCGAGCTCCTGGCGGGCGATGCGGAGGAGCGCAGCCAACGCAAGGCCCCCCCTTGGGACTTGACTGTCCAAGTGCGGCCTGGATCGCGCACGCACGTTTCATCGACGTTGAAGGTCGCGGGTATCGATCTGGCAGCTTCATCTGCAATGACCAGGGTAAGGGTCTATGATATAGCCCACGCAAGCGCGATCATCTCGATGATGGCGCTTGCTGGCCCGCTGCTGATCGACGGCAACATTGATAAAGCTGACAGCCGAGAAGCCCAATGTTACAATCAGTGAGTATGCGTCTTCACCGGCACGCAAGACTGCGACGCCAAGCGCAGAAGTGCCAGGTTGCTTGTCGCAGTCGTTGGCCCCGGTGTCTATAAATGTTCTCGTCGGTGTGATACGCTGGTCTATTCTTCGAATGGCAGCTGTCGTCGCACTGCGCAGGTCCGCGCATGCGGGAATAGCGCAGGGCGGCATGTTCCAGCTTCTTGCTTCAGCTAGCCGACGAAGGGATGCACGCGGCTGAAAGGCGCATATATCATGGGCGGCTGGCGCGGCCGCAGCTGGGGTGGCCTGGGGAAATTGTGGTTGAAGAGCGTCGTCTGCTTGAGGGGCAGGAAGGGTCGCTCGGGAATCTTCGCCAAAATCATGAACCCCTGCCGAGGGCGCCGATGCGCTGCGAGGAACAGCCTCCACGTCGACTGCGTGCTCGCAGTAGCTGACGTCTCGAGAGGGCCTATCTACTTCAGAATGCTGGCCGTGGAGATCTGGACGAGCATCTGGCACAGGGTCGCCATCAGCCACTGCTCCCATGACTGGCGGCGGCAGGCACCCACAACCTGCCGAGGGGACTGGCGCCCCTCCAAATTCACTGCTGGATGTGGCGCTTCTTCGATAAGACTGCCACGCGATTGAATTAGCCGTCTTGGTGTCTCACGTGCTGCATGAACCTGGCGAGGCAGAGACAGTGAATCCCGCTGAGCTGCGCTTCCTTCCAAGCGGGAGGCCTGGGTCGACGTTACTTGCGAGGTCCACGGGCGAGATAAGCCTGCATGGCAGCTGGCCCTGCACCCTCGCGTATCCTCTGCGTTCCTCCTTTGTTGGTCCAGGCTGTAGCGCGAGTCTCCCGCGATCGGCAAGGATCTCGAAGCCATCGCCGCCGTCAGTTTGAGCCTTCTTCACCATCCGCGGTTTGTCGGAGTCGCCGCTCTCGCCTGCTTGCCGCTTGTTGCGGATGTCGCGCCAGCGAAACTCCTCGTCGGAGATGGGGGAAGCCGGCCTAATTACCCTCGGCCGGTGACGAGTCGACCGCCTCGGGCGCGGCCTGGGGGGGAGCCGGGGTCGGATGTTCTGCGACCACGGATGTTGGCAACAGAGCAGATGAAGCAAGGCGGCCTGGCTTCGCTGGCGCGAAAAGCCTCGTGGTGGTGAGATTTTCCGTCATAGCCCATGCTGTAGTCGGAGACGGACACGAATCGGATGCCGACCTGGGAGGCGAGGGCTCCACTCGCACAGGTACGCCTCCCGCGAGGGCTTGGCGCAGCGTGTCCTCCAGCTTCCTGCGCTCAGTGGCGCGCGCGCGTTCCCTGGCGCTCTCGGGGGTGGGCTGGAGGCTCTGGAGATGCTGCAAGTGCTCCTCTTCCCGCTGGATGGCTGCCTGCTCGGCCTGCTCGTGAAGCATCTCCTCCAGCTGCGACGTCGGGGGCGGCGAGGGTACTTCATGCCTGCTCCGTTGATGTAGATCGACGTAGTTAACTGGCGTCACTCCACTGCCGGAGGTTGAAGTGGGGTCGCAGCCGTAGGCACTGCTGGGTGCCCTTGCTCTCGCCTGCTCGTTCACCGACCACGCCAAGGAAAATGTGTTGGGCTGCTGCGCCTGCTGCTGCTGCTGCTGCTGCTGCTGCATCAGGCACTGCTGCTGAAACGCATGCTGCTGCATTGCCTCGGCGCACCCCGGGTTGAGCCAAGCGGATCCCATCGCAGCGAGAGCAGGGCGAACCCGCTTGGGCCCTGCCAGCGCTCAGGGGCAGGCTGCTGCGCCTGCGGCGCTGGCTGTCGCTGCGCGGTTTCCTGCCTGTGGGGCCCCTGGATCTTGAGACACTCGTTCTTCTGCCGCATCATCTCCTGTTGCTGCATGGCGATGGTATCCGCGAGCTTCTGCATGTGGGCGGCCATGCCCTTCCACTGCTGGGCCACGACCTGCCCCATCTGCCGGGCGACGTCCTGCGCCGTCGGGGCCGCCTGCGCCTGGGGAGGAGCAGGAGGCGTCGGTGGGACACGCTGGGCAGAAGTAAATTCGGTTGCGGCCCTTCTGCCTCTCGGTGCCACTGCACGGCGACCCCTCCTCTTGGCAGGGTTGTCCTCGGACATCGGCTCGTCTCAGTCGCCCTCGTCCTGAATGATCTCGAAGCTGCCGTCGGAGTCGCCATCGTGAGGGTCTTCGTCGTTGTCCTTTTCTTTCGCCTTTATGATGTGCATTTTGGCCTCTGTGGGGGGGCTGAAAAATATCCCACCAGCCCCCTGGGCGCCAGAATCACTGGTTTTACTAAGGTTTTGGCCCCATTTTGGCCCCTTTGCTGCAGTGGAAGAAGTGGTACAAAACTCCCCTCGCGGAGCCGCAGCAGCAACGCTGGAGCGCCGCATAGCTCTCCGCCTGGGCCCGTGCCGTCCGCCGCCCGAGCGGGCGCGGGGGGGGCACCGCGCGAGGCAGAGCGCCCGCGGCCGCCGATCGAGCAGAGACCCCGCCACGCCCGACTTCGACAGCCAGCGAGCAGCCTGGAGACGGGGCGACCCTCCACTCGGCGAGGCCTGGCGGCGAAGGGCAACGCCCACCCTGGGCCCCCACTGCGAGGGCCACGTTGCCCGGCGAGGCAGTCGAGCCGAGGCGAGGCCGGGTCGGAAGGGAATGGGGTGGAGAGGAGGCGGAGGTCAGAAGGGTCCACCAACTCCGAGTCTCCCATCCCGGGCGCAGTTTTCTTCGCGCCTTACAGGCCCCTGTGCCTGTCGCCAAGCGCGCCACCGGAGGTTGCCTCTGCGCCTGCTGTCAGGAGTGAGCCCGCGAGACTGGTCGCGAGAAGAGCAGCTGGGCCCACTGGCGGTCTCGGCTGCTCGAAGACAGACCGCTCGTCTATGCCGCGGGGAGGATCGCCCGATCTGCCTCGGCAGCGCCGCGCGCGGCGCGTGAGCTCCTCCCCACCCCCTCCCCCCTCCTCGAATGAGTCTTCTGCCCCGCCGCCTCGGAGGCAAGGAGGGAAGAGGCAGGAGACAGGGGGGGGGTGCGGCGACGACGGCGAGGTGTCCGGAGCGGCCAAGAGGGGGGTGTCCAAGAGGGAGGGGTGCACATCATGGCCGGCGGCATGTGCGCTGCCCAGGTTGGGAGCCAGGAACGTATTGAAATAAGAAGAGGCGCCATGAAATCTGGGGAAATATCATTCCCCCCGCCATGAGATCCACCCCCCCCTAGACATCACCCCCCTCTTTTCCGCCCCCGAAGGTGGGCGTCAAGGGCCACCAGCCCGAGAGACTGGGGAGACACGCTCGGGCCCCAGCCAATGGGCGCGGAACGGCCCGAGCGCCCGCGGCTATACTCGAACCGCGCTCCGCAGGCCGGGGACACCTGCCCAAGGCAGGTCGCAGCGCGAGCGGCTACCCTGGGAGGCTTGGAAATTGACACCATCACCAACACAGGGGGTTGCCTCCACCAGGGGAGGATGATCCTAGAATTCGGTGCTGGTGGTAACCTTTCGGCCGCCTAGGAAGCCAGAATATTACCACCATCACCGAGATTGGGATATTCTTCCCTCGGTGGAGGCACAAAGCCGATGTTGGCGTTGGTGTCAACCTCTAGGCCTGCGAAGGTGGGCGTCAAGGGCCACCAGCCCGAGAGC